GTATGCGGTTGTGCGTAGGGTTTGGCACCCACCGCATGAAAAGCCAAATCCAATGAAAAACCAAAATATGTCTCGGATGAGAGAACCCTTTGTTGATGTCAGCCGCAAATGTTTTAAGGATTACGATTTGTGGGCATGCACCTGGATTGCAAAGTCCCTTAATTGATAGGATGCCGCTACTCAGCTGCTTGAAGTCCTCGGAAATGCGACGGAAGGGACAAGGACGGAATCAGATGGGTTCCTGTGAAATTTACTACAGCGACCATATAAAAGAGCGCAAATTTGGTGTTGTACTCGCGGTGGGGGAGACACTCCGTCACCGATAACTGACATTCACTTCGGTGAAGGGCTTACCGACAGAGCTTTTCAAACATCGAGATGAAGTGCTGACAAGGTGCATGCATCAATTTCTATGCATAATTTGGTCGGATAAAAGCATGACCGACGATTGGAGCCCAAGTATTCTCTGCCCCATCCTAAATCTGCCCATATTACCCATAATTCGCGCCAATTACCCTGGAGTGAGTCTCTTTAATATGACCTTAGACTTAGTAAGTCAAACATTGACCAGATAAATCAGGGAAAGGAGAATCGATACACATCTCTCTTCGAGTAAGGAGCTGCCTCTACGCCGCTATGTCTGAAATTGGTATCTCTGCAAAACTTATATGGCTTTGTAAACTGACGCTGGACGTTTCCTTCACCAGACTCCAGGCAATGAGCCAGTATGAGGTGAACCCTAAGAAAAATCAAGGCTCGGATCGTAGCATGTGGAAAAATGCAGCCGCTGGAAACGGCGATACAAGACGTCGAAAATCGGATCGATACTGAGTAAACTTTGAGTCAATTTCATAAAGTTATAAGCCAAACGAATAACAAACCTACATAACTATAAGTCAACTATATTAAAATACATATATACGAGTGCATTCAGCAAATGCGCCAATCGGTGTGCCCTTTGCTCTACATTCGCACTCACCAGCATTACAAATGTCATTTCTGTTTTCTGTTTCATTTCCATTTCTGTGGCACAATGTTGCAACTTGGTTGGTTAGTGAATAAGCGGCAATTGAATTTGAGTAAATAAACCATAATTATACATGATTTGCATGCAAATGTTGTAAATCGTATTAGGAATGCCAGAGGGCATCAACGCGCTCCACTGTGGCATGCAACTAACAAAACAAAGCAAAAGAGAAGCAACAAAACAGCAGTCAACCCACGAACCAACTTGCCACACTTTTGCAAACTTTTCAATAAACTCAACGCTGAGCGCATGAATTCGAATGCGTGCCATAATAAGGAAAATTAAATCAAATATTTTCACTAACAAATCCACATGAATGTGCATAATGGTGCAGCGTAAGCAGTTGGGCCGTGCACGAGTGGCAGGCGTGAGTTTGTGCTGCATATCGACAGATGTTTTTCTATTCACTGTGAAGCCTTCCGGTTCACGGCTCCACCGGCAGCAGTTGAGTATGCGTGCTGCGGTCGCTGCGCAAGTGCACATTTATGACATAAATATTTTTGTTGTTTTTTGGAGCGTGTACGCATTGCGTTGCACTTATGCACATGTGGTGGGAAACTTAATGTTGCTGTTGAAAATTTCGCTTATGTAACCACATTCGGAGGAATATTTGTTTCTATGAATGTTACATATTATTTTGGGCAATCTGTGTCCCCGAGAAATGAAGACTGCGCAAAAAATCTCAACCGTAGATAAACATATGCTACATACGAACAGATGAATAAATAAAAAAAAAATAAGACACCAGAAGATATTGTTGCCCTTGCAATGTCTTCTGAACAATTATGGGCTTGCTAAATTCGTCCTTTACCAATTTTTAATAGCGGTTTCTGCCACTTTGGTGGGCATAGTCTTGATTTCCGTGAACTGTACCTTGGCTTTACACCGGGCGTTTCAAATTACTTTGCCCATATATGGGCTTAATGCACTACTTTCGCACTTTGTACGCATAAAAGAGCATAAGGAAGAACACTGTGGGAGGGGTAAGGCCTGAAAGTCCCATAACTATATATGTAACGGACGTGCATGGCTTAATGCTTTCAACGAAATTGATTTATAAATCACGTAACGCACATAAGGCAAAGACAAAGTATGGCGGGGACATAATGGGCATAATGGCGCTGCTGTTGCTTGTGTCGCCTTGTCATTTCTGCACAATTTTGTATTTTCTTTGCTGCAGCAGAGGAATGTGCTTGCCATGCGAGCTACCCTTCCCAACATACAAACACACAGAAATTAACAACATTGACGATTGAAATGTAAAGGTGACAGCGTTGACGTAGATTGCGGGTATATTATGCTGTGGGGCTTATAAAGTGTTCACCGCTCAGGATATGCATTAGCGTGTATGTGGAGAAAGCGTAAATTTTTAGTAGTAATATATAAATATGTGTCTTTATGCCCGCATCAAATTTTGTTATTTTATATTACAAAATGAGTGTACGGGGCGTATGAGTAACCTACCAATTCAAGACTTCGAAAGATGCGACGGTTGAGACAATGCAGCACTCGTATATTGGGGAAATCTTGATTGAAGTGGAACATAATGTTATTTTAAAATAATTTGCTTGTAGGAAAACACTTTTATAACAAAATATTTATGCTTTATTCAAACATTTTTCAGTTGACACATTTTCGAACGTATTTTTAATAAAGTAGGCTTTGCATGTCACAAGAGACTGCCAGTTGAATACATTTTCTAAGTATATGTAATATTTCAGACACCTTAAAGTACCACAAAATCAATAAACATTGTTTATAACAAACAAAAATGCAGATTCTCGAAAGATGTTGCCCCTCATTCAGCACAGATTTTATGTTGTGGTAAAGTATTTAGAGCGAAACAAAGCAAAGTAAATTTCACATTGCAGATTACATTGTTGCTGCATGTACTCGTATATATGTATATATGTAAGTGTGCGTACATTAAGGAGTTTCATAAAATAGGCTAAAACTAAGTATCTCTATCTGTCTACCAAGTGTTCCAAAACCATGAGTCACACAGGACGCATAATGCTTGCTGAGCTGTTAAGTACGCTCTAATTCCCTCTCTCCCTTATCCTACCTCTCTCTTCCACCACCAAGCTACCCGTTGTTGTTGCCTACGATTGTTGTGCTGGCATACCAAATTTTGGTACTCTGATGTGCTTTGGTAAATTATGCATCCTAAGGGGAGTTTAAAATGTACAAAAACCATTTTGCTTTTAAATTTTTATGCACTCCAAGGCGTACGTAAATTTATGTACGAAAATTTACGGCAACAAAATTTCTGTTAAGTACGATTTGCTGTCATTTTGGTTAGAAACGTGTGGAAAGCAGAATATTTTTAGAATGTTCAAATACATTGATGCGATATTAGATGATTACATTTTAAGAGTTGAGTATTAGAAAGGTTTTTGGAAATATGTTGTACGTCTTGCATAATGTAAGTCTCGCAAATATTAGCACAGTTTAGTGGCGAGAATTTATTTGGATTTCACTACAAAATAAAAAACGGAATATTAAGTTGGACCTTACTTTCAGAAAGCTGATTTCTTATATCTGTCAAGCAAGTTCTGAACACTTTATGTATAACTGTTGAAGCGGTTTGATGTCTTAGCAAGAAATGAAGAGACCTTCAGTCGATGCTGATAAATTTTTATGAGGAAACTTCTATTTTGTCCCAGAAATATAATCGGTGGGGTTGATATTTCCTTACAAGGATGACTTTTATTATAAAAACTACACTTTCAAATTATTTTTTATTTTTCTGGAAATTTGGATATTGGTCAGGCTAGTGATCAGTCGAATGACCCGCATGGTAATACGCACTGTTAGCCACAGGACAACCGCATTAGTCAATCATTTTTTGAAATGGGACATAACGAAATATTACAAAATGTAAGGAGAGACAAAAATTTTCTAAATGTAATTGGAAACAAATGCCAATATGTACAAGTAAGTTACGTATACGCAGTGTTGTACGAAGATTATATAGATGCAAATTCGCAGTACGAAAATTCGTTACAAAGAATATTTTTTATTAAAAGGCATAGCCATGTAAGTCAGCTACTAGGTTAGCAAGGTCGATATCAAAAACCTCTGCAGCAAATAATATGCAGTAAACGATTGATGTGGTTGAGGATAAATTGTGTTCATATACAATTTATGTATATTTATTTTTCGTTGTAAATCTTATACCGAAGGAAATTTTATTATATTTTTTATCTATTTGCCTACCAATTTGGATTTTCGTTCGCCTCTCTCGCTTGGGACGCACGTTCATTAAAAATTTATGTAAATTCGCTATAAGTTCATGATATTTATTTGTTTTCAGCCCTTTTGTGCAACATTTTTTTCTGTTTTTTCACTTAAGCTTTATAATGTTGATTTTTTCTGTTTTGGTTTTGTTGTTTGCAAAGGTTATGACAAAAATGAGATATGTGAGATATTCATAAGTCTCTTGTGCGTTTGTCGGCCACATCTGCGTTACCTACTCAACATTTGCTCATTCATCTAACCGTACACGGATTAGTTAAGCCTTTGGGGAATTCTATATTAATAATTAATTTATGTGTTGCGGTTGCTCACTTTTAGCCGCATTACTAATGGCTAGCAGCGCTTGTTAACTATCTGCTTTTTTATAGTTTATGCGCCTATTTTTTACCTACTATATTTCCTTTTTTTCAAAAATTATATTTTTTTGCTATTGTCAGAAGCTTAGTGCTTGGTTGGTGCTGGCTCACTAAGCTCACTATTAAGTCAAACATCTATGTGTATCTGCCTGAAATATTCATCTATTTTTAATTATGGTTTTAAATATTTCAGCTTTTGTCAAATGTTGATCAACATTTTTTGTTTCCTTTTTTTTTGCTATCAACTAACAGCGACCATATTTAATTCGTTAACATTTTTTTTATAACTCATATCTTTTGTTAGCTTTATAAATTTCTCTGTTTTATTTATTTACATTTAACATTCATATCATACTTACATCACATTGTGAGGACGAAATATTTTTAAGGTTCAAACGAAACACGCGATCCCTGTGGAGTAATAAAAATCAGTTAATATCGATAAAAGCCAATAAATCGCCGCTGTTGTGGTCGCTATTGAGCTTTTGGGTTTGCCGTTGTTGCAGTGAGTTATTTACTCACACTGTTGGTGCCACAATTTGGAAGTGAAAAATATAATAAAAAAACAAATATTTGTGGTAGAATTTAAAATGAATAAATCAATGGCAAGCACAGCGTTGGCGATATTTTCGATAGTTGGACATATTCGGTGTTATTTTTTCATCTCATACTTACATGGCACCGACGTAGAGCGCGTCTTTCGTTTCATCCATGTGAAAAGTGCGATAGTATAATTTGCCGCAATTGAATTCGCGTACATGGTCTGAAAAAAGAAATAAAAATAAAATTATAAATATATTTAGAATTATTTCTTCAGAGACATATTTGTTATGAAATTAAGCTAATTGTTATGATAAAAATTCACTCACGAACCATATTTAAGTATGATGTTCTGTTTTTCTGATTGGTGAAATGTCTGTATGGCAGTTGACTTACGCTAAGCTATTAACAAAAAACCATGTGAAACTCGAGACAACACAAATTGCAACAGCATAAACACTTAATGTTTTCATTTAGTTCACTTTGTCATTAAAGTTTTTGACAGTTTGTTTACCTTCTTCAGCAAAGTTTAAGGTAAACATTATACCTTTATTATTGTTGTCTGTTTTTAGTTCTTTCTTGCCCCCCTTGAGGCGAAGAAGCATTCAAAGCCGTTTAACTTGATACAGATGAAAATTAAAAGTTTGTTTTATATTTTATATTTTATATTTTATTTTTTATATTTTATATTTTATATTTAAATTTTATATTTTATATTTTATTATTTTATATTTTATATTTTATATTTTATATTTTATATTTTATATTTTATATTTTATATTTTATATTTTATATTTTATATTTTATATTTTATATTTTATATTTTATATTTTATATTTTATATTTTATATTTTATATTTTATATTTTATATTTTATATTTTATATTTTATATTTTATATTTTATATTTTATATTTTATATTTTATATTTTATATTTTATATTTTATATTTTATATTTTATATTTTATATTTTATATTTTATATTTTATATTTTATATTTTATATTTTATATTTTATATTTTATATTTTATATTTCATATTTTATATTTTATATTTTATATTTTATATTTTATATTTTATATTTTTTTACATTTTATATTTTATATTTTATATCTTATATTTTGTTTTTTGGCTGTGGATTAGGTTGAAATTGAGCAAACAATAGACTCATAAAACATACAAATATGTACTAGGGTGAATATTATAATGAAAACCTTAATATTTAAACTCAGATGATGCTTAACGTAAAGCTGGGTTTGCTAAATTATATAAATGATTTCGTGCTTGTGTTTAATATTTTGTAGTTTAGCTTTAATTAAAATTTAAAGTTTTTCCGTTCCAGTTTACTCTGGTTGCTCGCAGATCTATCTTTGCCTCTTGAAGTTTCACTGAAGTACAGCAGTTCAACTTTCTAAAGTAACCTGATATATTTTTCGTATAAATACACACCAGAATTCTAGTAAAACGAGCTGAATGTTGCTGCAGGAAAAAAGACAATTGAAATGCTTTTAACAATAAATGAGTTAAGGATGCACCAATGGCCAAAAACAAACGAAAAATAAAAATTGGAATAGAAAAACGTAAAAACACCTAAAGTAAAAAAAGCATAAAAAAATCTCGTTGAACTTTTTAGGCAAGGGTCAAACACACAAAGCTGGCCATTGGTTTTGTGCATCAAAATATTTTATTCCACGTTACTTTTATTTTCCAATATTTACGATGCCCCATGAGTAAGCAGCGAGTAGGAGAGTGAGCGGGTGTATGAAAGGTCGTTAGGTTTCCATGCAGTTTTCGACAATTTTATTGCATATATTGCACATTTGCAGACACATATATATATTTATAAATATTTGCTGTATGTGAAATGAAAAATTGATATTCGACGTTCGTTTGTAAATGAATATGCCCGTCAACGTAACTATAATAGTCGAAAGGTTATTGTATTTCAATATAAATAGAAAATATAGCCGAAAAAATCTACAAAGAAGGAACATAAAAAAATGGACAAAAGAAAACAAGCTATAGTTTCAGGCAGTAAAAATGGACAACCATAAAATATACATATAGATGCATTTTTATATTCCTCTATCATTTGTTCTACTCCCTTCAAAGCAAAAAAAAAAAGAAAAGTCGAAAATTTGTATCCCCACACTTCATAAAAACTAACGAACTAACATGCACCGCAAAATCGGACAGACTGAAATTGAAATTCTAATCAATTGACAAATAGCCAAAGGCATTAGTTAGGAAAATTGAATATCTTTGCTGAAGAGTGATTGCGTGTGTGCACATGGAGTGGTCAGTGTGTAAGCTAAAGAGTAAGAAAATTTGTAGTTATTGTTTCAGAAAGGTAAGCCATTGAAGAAATTTAGAATAGTACAATTGGACGCTTTTTAATTTATCTTTCGATGAAGCTGATGTGATGACTTAAATTTTTTAAAAACTTTAGAAGAGTATTTATTACCTTAGGTAACTTTATATTCTTAAAAAAGACTTTTGTGAGCAATAAAAAATTGACAAATGAGTGAAAAATTAATTTTTCATCAACACTTTTGCATTTTCCTACCTATTTTTTCGTTTATCATCAAGTTACTAATACGCCATGCCTACTGGAAACTTATGAAAAATATTCTGATGGCTCCTGTAAACCCTCCTGGGACAATATTTAGCATCAGCAAATTCATCATCACTTTTCATCAGTCATCAACGGCCAAATATTTGACCACAAAATAAATATACACGCTTAAGTGGTAATAATTTGTTTGCTCATCTATTCGCCAGTTTCTAATTAATTGTCGGAAATGTCGTCAGTTTGCCTGAAAGATCAAAATCTGGGCTAGCCATGCAAAAACCAGAAAAAAGTTAAAGCGAGAGGAAAGAGCCATTTAATTAACATAATTAATATTTGCTACCCTTAAACACTTTCAGCCTGATTTTTTGGCCAAAATACAACTTCTCACTATATAATTTATGACAACGACGAGTGGAGATCGTAAAGTAAGGGGAAAGTGTGATATTTTGGGAATAAAGAAATAAAAATTATGAAAAGTTTCATATTTTTTGCAAAAAAGGAGTGAATTAAATGAAAGTAGCGAAAATGAAAGAATTAAATTAATTGAAACTATAATAACATTTTTCCAACATTATACGTACTTCTTGATTATCCCTCGTGTATATCCAGTTGCTTAGGCATTAAGCAAATGTAAGCATTTAAAAGCAAATATTTGCACAATAAATGCTAGCAGACAAAAATTACATACCATTTATATGTCTATCGCATTTCGTCTCGTATTAGTATGCTTAAGCTTGTAAGAGTATGTAAATGTGTAAGTGAGTGTGTGTGTTGACAGAAAGCCAGCAAGCAATTCGCACAATTAAACATGCCACGACAACGTAAGCAATTAACATCCAGCCATGTTCGCTTTGTATGACCTAGAGTATGTTTGACTAAATGTCCATGGAAATACATGCATATATTTACGCACATATTTACTATGTTTTATTCTTTATTTATACTGCTTAATATGACCAACTTGCACGATTTCTCGTTGCTACCATTTTGGTATTAAATATTATGCTTCCAGTTCTAGTTTTTATTAAGTATTTTGCTTCTGTCCTTTAATTTGCGTATGTATGTATGTATGTGAATATTATTCATTCAAGTGTATATTATATATGCTTACAATGTTTTTATGTATAATTTGTTGACGTGTTGATTACTACAATTCTGTTGTTCGAAGAAAGAGCAAACATGTTTGCTATGCAAACAAATTGGCACACATATACATATACACACTTATACTCTGTCTAAATGAGCGAGGGAAGACACTTGTTAATATAAAAAATTTTCACTTACATGAAACTTACTTAATTGACATTTTCTTGGGTGCCCCACGCTTGATCGAACTGTATAAATATTTCTAAGAGATATCAAGTGCTAATATAAGATTGATTACTATGTAAAGCATAAGACAATTTGTAAAGTAAAATTTGTTTATGTGCTCTGTGTAAGTGTTCCCTATTGCCAGCAAAACATAATTACATATTTCTATGCATATTCATTCTGTAAATACTTTTTATGGGAAAATTTCACTTTTAAAAGCTAATTTTATTAATTATTAAAACTTCCTTCAAAGCATTTTTGTTTTCTTCACGTCTGGTGGTTCTAAGTAAGGGTATTATACACGTTCTCAAAAAATCTTATGCCTTTGATTTCAATAGTTTCCGTAATTCATCTTTCATGTATCTTTTATACTAACTTTTAAAATGCGACAAATATTATATATTAATAAAACTTTATATAGGTAAGTTCTACTAACCTCATGGGAGAGAATTTCAAATAAAATTGCGGGATGAGCAATGTTACCATATTATTATAATTGCTTAGTAACTAAAAAAAGGACATCAGATGCTCTCAAAAACAGAACAATTTCGCAACTCACAATATAGTAATCTCCAACGGGAATGAGAAATTTGCGGCTTAAAAATTAGAGAAATAAAAAAATCTGGCTTGAATCAATGAATTGAAACATTGAACCAAGTGAAAAATGTTGACTGACAGACACGGCATTTAATTATATAAAAAAAAAGAAGTTTGACATAAAATTTAGGCAAGAAGTGCGAACAGAAAGTTAGAATTTGCTAACATGTAAGCAGCACGTGCGCTTAATTAAACTATTTAAATGCAGAGTGTATTTTTCGCACAAATGTAGCATACATGCAGGCGCTTTGCAATTAGGAAATGTAGAAATTTTAGGCAGGCAGTTGTTTGATTGGCGAAAAAATATATCTATGCTGGTGGTCTGTAAACTATACACCTGCACTGTCTTAGAGGGATTTAAGAAAGTTGTTGTTGCGTGTTCTTGTCGTGCAAAATTTCCATTTTCTACTTCATTTTTTGCTTTTGACGTTGCTGCAGTTGACTGTCGTGTGCATTTTAGTACACAGTCTCTTTTGTTAAATCGAGTTTATTTTTCTTTAACTAGTTGGGTAATTGCAACACACTGCGGGTGTCCTTGAGCACAATTGCACAAATTAGCAGCAGATAACTCACTTACACCGAAAAAGTTGCGTGTGAATAAGGGCTTAGCGAGTGAAGAATGAGTAATAACTGAGGGAATATTAAAAAGAGTCGAAAATTATACAGTTAGAGAAAGTATAGAAAAATACCAGAGAAAAAAATGTAGCCAATTAAAGTTTATTTGTTTCACGCATTTTTAGTTT